CACTAAGGGGAACATAAAATTAAATCAAGAGAGCAGCTAATGGGAGAAAAATATAGTTGTCAGTAGTTTTTCCATTTACAGTTATCAAAAACATTTAAAATGGATTTTAAAAAAACTTATGGTAAGGGAACAAAGTAAGGCAGAATTTGACGTGTGATTGTGTATCTATAATGAACATGGAACTGCTAAAATGTATAAACTTTTGCTGAAATTTGAAATAGAAGAATAGATTAAAGATTGCATGATAAAGTAGGATAAGAATTTTGGTTATAATATATAGATGAATCAATGGGAATATATGAGGTTAAAAGGGTTGAATTTTACAGAATACTATGACCTTAAAGATAATTTTTATAAAATCATTTATCATTGGTATCGGCTGCCAGAGAAATTAGCTAGAATGTATAAATGGATTCCAAATGTATGTTGAAAATGTGAACAACGTGAAGAGACTTTGTATCATGCTTGGTAAAATATTTTGGATTGAAATACACACACTGATACAGAGAATTTTAAAGATGAATATTGAGGCCAGAACTCTTCTTTTTAGGACTAATAGATACAAAGTTAGAAAAAAGTCATGGAAGATTATTTCATGATTATTATGGTGAGATTATTACATATGTACAAAGATGGAAAGATTCAGCATTACCCACCATGCAGGAAAGGTTGGTGAAATGGACTAAAATTGCTCCATGGCTAAATTCACTTCTTTGATCAGAGAAGGATCATTATTGACATTCAACTCCTAATGGACTTTTTGCATAAAAAAGAAGATGATTTTATGACTTATGGTTTTGATGATTAGAAAGAATAAGTTATAGAAAGAAGGGAATTATAATATAATTCTAGAGATAGAGATTTTATTAGAATTGTATGTATAACTCTGGAGAGGAAGATCAGAAGCCTTTATATTTCTTTCTTTCAGGTTTTCTGTTCTTTTTCATTTCTTTTTTCTAGTTCCTTTTTCTTTGTCTCTTCTATTACTTTCCTTTTTTTCCTCTTTCACATTTACTGTATCTGTATCTTTTAATGTAATTCTTATTATATTTGTAATTTTTTAAAATAAAAACTATTTTTTACAAAGAAAAGACATTGTTAACATAAATAATAAATGGTCACCTGATTTAAATAATCTTATGCTTCACTGTATAAACCCAAAAGTTTTTTGTTGGTATATTGATTTTTTCCCCCAGCAATAACACTTTCACATTCTTTTAAATACCACAGACTCGTTTAAAAAAATCTGTTTAGTTTTCTTTGTCTTATAGTCACAAACCTGATAGCTAACAATGGGAAATTAATCTAGTTTATATATTATATTATGGTAATATAAATGTGTTTGGAAAGATAGACAAGAAATGTTCGGAAGTATTCAGTGTGAAGGATTGTTGGATGATATTTCTTTATTTTTTAAAAAAACCTTTTTATCGAACAGCATTGCAGTACTTTGTACCAATGTCTTTACAACCTTGCCAACAACTTTATGAATGAATATAGCGCAGTTTTAATAGGATCAATGGATGATCTTCAGGGTCAATTCAGATGACTTGCTGGAATAGAGTTCCAGTAAGGTTTTTCATGGTTTTTCATTTCTTTCTCATTTTGTTTGAATCCTGTGTCAACTGATGTTTTGTAGTTAGGTAATATATTGTTCAGGGGTTCGGTGGCCTAGCAATAAGGTGTTTGTTGACTGGAAGGATCAGGATAAGGTCCCATTCTTGCCCCAGCTCCTGCCAACCTAGCAGTTTGAAAGTATGCAAATAAATAAATCACTTCAGTGAGAAGGTAACAGTGTTCCGTGTGCCTCAGCTTATAGTCTTGCTAGTCACCAGACCATGGAAGGGTGTTCGGACAATGCTGGTCCCCTCAGCTAGGAAACAGAGATAAGGACCACCCCCTAGAGTTGGATACAACCAGGCCGGGAAATCTTTACCTTTGTCTTTTTTAAGTATATTGTTCAGTTTGTAATATTGTAATATTACTGGCCCTACAGCATTGGGCCAAAGTGTTGAATGAGCCCATCTCTAGAAAAAGTAGTAGTATATTGATTAGTGTCTTCAGATGTCCATTTGTCTTGCTTGTATTTTTTATGATTGCTTTTTATTTCTATGCTGTCCAGAGATATCCTAAACTGGGTGATTAGACAAGTTGAAGAAAAAAATATGATGTAGAAGTTATCACGAAGCTTAGACTCAGACTGTAACAACAGGAAAGTGACATTCTCTTCCAACCGACCTCGTATCTATTTTCACCTTTCTCCACATTATAACCTGATATATTATAGATGATTCAGCTTTGCTGTACATCAGGAAAACTAGTCTCTGATCCGGGAGAAGTGGATGCAACTCTTCTTCCTTGCTTGCCCTTCTCCAAGAATAATATTCTGCTACTGAACTTGTGGGCATGAAATTTACCATCTGCAAAAAGCCCTGGTAGAATATTTATGAGAAATTAATTCAGCCAGTGGGAAAACAGCTCAGTCTCCCACCGTGCTCTGGACTAAATCAGATGTACAGACCTTGCTATTCACACATTTTTAGCTTGGCTAAAAAGAGATAACTTTATTGCTACTGGTTATTTTAGAGCAGTGGTTCTCAACCTGTGGGTCGGGACCCCATTTGGGGTCGAACGACCATTTCATGGGGGTCGCCAAACAAGGCTGTCCGCCATTTTTCCCCCTTTTCTTTGGCCACGCCCCTGGCACCCGGTGATGTATAAGTGGTTGGGGGTCACCACAACATGGGGAACTGTATTATGGGGTCGCGGCATTAGAAAGGTTGAGAACCACTGTTTTAGAGTGAAGTGAAATAGAAGCTGGTTCCCACACCTCCATTTTGTCTCCCCACAAGCATAACAAATAACTTGAATTCAATAAAATTTGCAGAAACAACATTTCCTCATTTTATTTCCATGCTATTTCTATTCTGCACTAAACCTTTAAAAGGTCCAGTGGTGCTTCTGAATGACTATTTCAGACAGGAAGAGCAGTTGTAAAAAGAAGAGTGTTGAGAGGCTTGACTTCTATTTTCCTTTATTACTTTAGGACAATGTTTCTCAACCTTGACAATTTTAAGGCATGTGGACTTCAACTCCCAGAATTCCACAGCCAGCACTGCTGGCTGTGGAATTCTGGGAGCTGAAGTCCACATGCCTTAAAATTGTCAAGGTTGAGAAACACTGCTTTAGGACCCAACCTAATAATTCCTTTATAATGTTGACTAGTCCATACTTTGCCAAACCCAAAGATGACAAAACTTCAGTTTTATTTTCTTTTATTTTCTTGGGTAAGCTTTTCTTATTATTCATATGCCTGAAGAGACATCTAATTGCAACTCAGCCATTCTGAAAAATATATTTAGCGGTAAATCATGGCTTTACTACCTCTAGGGCAGTCTACTGCAGTGATCTTTACACAGGGCTGTCTTTCACAAGTATGCAGAAAATGAAATTATTACAAAATACAGTTGCTTGCCTGCTGGTGGGAGAAAATTATTCTAGCCACCTGATACCAGCTTGTGGGTGCCGCATTGGCACCCAATAGACTTTTAAATATACAAAATGCTAGTTCTAACTTTTTTTTTTCTTTCATTCAATTTTGGCCAATTTTCAGAGGCTGCCAGAACCAGTCCTTGGGGCTTCTGGTGATTGGCCCAGATCATCCAGCTGGCTTTGTGCCTAAAGCAGGACTAGAACTCATAGTTTCCCAGATTCCACCCTGATGCATTAACCACTACACCAAACTGGCTCTCAGTTAATTTATAACCCTTTAAGGCAGTGGTTCTCAACCTGTGGGTCGGGACCCCATTTGGGGTCGAACGACCATTTCACGGGGGTCGCCAAACAAGGCTGTCCACCATTTTCCCCCCTTTTCTTTGGCCATGCCCCTGGCACCCGGTGATGTATAAGTGGTTGGGGGTCACCACAACATGGGGAACTGTATTATGGGGTCACGGCATTAGAAAGGTTGAGAACCACTGCTTTAAGGCTTGACTCCTAGGCCTTTTTACTTCTATCCCATTCAAGTAGAACCAGCCTGTTTGATCTGCTGATCTAGGATAGAGACGTTCATAGTTCCATCCAGATGTGAAATTGATGAAGGAGACGAAGGAAGCAATTTTTCTTATTGCTACTCCACTTCTGTAGAGTAAACTCCCTGACATTTGAGACTTGGATAGCTCCCTTCCCAACTGCATTTTGGAAAGTTTAGAGACAAGCTTGGAGATAACCATTCAAGACAGGATTACACTTTCGATCTTTATACCTCTGGATTGGTTTTTTTGGTTTACTTGCATTATTATCTTATGGGTCATTTTTATGGTTCGGTGGGGTAAACTATGGGGAGTTGTTTTAAAATATGGCAAAGTTTAAAAACTGTCAAACACGTAAATAAATCCCTTGATGCCAATGCAATGACATGCATGCAATTGTATTATCATGCAAATGCTATTACCGTAAATGTCGGCGTATAAGGTGACTTCCGCGAGCGCTGAAATCGGCACCAAAGATGGGGGTCGTCTTATACGCCGAGTCGTCTTATATGCTGGAAATACTGGTAGTTTCCGGCGTATAAGACGACGTTCTAGGAATGCGGCCCGGCTATAAAGACGGGGGTCGTCTTATACACCGGGTCGCCTTGTACGCCGGCATTTACGGTACATACTTCAGTCTCAACATCTGATGCTCTTATGTAAATGGTAGCATTATTATAATGATGGTATGGTATAGGTTTCACAATTTTCCTCCTATGGATGCTCCTGACCGTACTATACCAGCTCTAAGATTTCATGCAATTAGTACCTAAGTACTAAGCAGATCTGAACCTGTATGTTTTTGTTTTGTTTTAGATTAGCCACAGTTAGTTTGGTGCTACCCCCTGAACACACACACACACACACAAACACAGAGCACTCTCACACATACTATGATATTTTTCTAGTGATTTGGTGCAAAAGGTGGTTAAGAAAGCACATTAATTTTATTTTATTATTTATTTACAGATTATTTTGCTCAATCTGCTAAAATGTGTGCTAATATTCTACCTTGTGTATTACATAGTCCTGTGCTTTTGTTTCACAGCATTCAGGTAAGAAGACTTTAAGTATCATTCTAAATGCAGAAATGCATGAAATTATGTGAGGGACGGATTGACTTTGTTTCATTTGTTTTGAATGGAACATTTAGACATATATACATATATGTACATTTATGCTTAGTAATTGGATTTGGTATGAAAAAGATGTGAGGTAAACTACATTCAGTAATGCAACGTGATCTTATGTAATATTTGCTATTCAGCATATATGAGAGTCCCTGCATTTGGAGAGACTTTGGTAGAAAAAAATATTTTGTTCAGCTATTCCTGGACTTTATTGACATATTGTATATATTCACAGAATTCAAATGTTGGATGGATTTGCACCTTTTGATTTTAAGACAAAACCTTCATGGTTTAACCCACACTATTTAGGTAAGTTTTCTTCTTTTCTATATGTGATCTTGAAACTACTAGAAGGCCATTTTCTATCAAAACGCTTCAAGCAGATGATTTAAATTTGGATTAGAATAAAAAGAGCTGGAAGGGACCTTGGAAGTCTTCTAGTCCAGCCCCCTGCTCAAGCAGGAGAACCAAACCAGTGATGGCGAACCTTTTAGAGACTGAGTGCCCAAACTGCAACCCAAACCCCACTTATGTATCGTTGGGTGCCAGGTGGGTGTGGCCCATTGGGTGGGAGTGGCTGAGGTGGTAACGGTAGACTGGGTGGGACTAAAAAGTTCAATCAATCAATTCCAACTTTGCAAGATCTTTTTTTTCCCTCAAGAAATTGAACCTTTTTTTTTTGTGCATGTGGTAGAGGCCTAAAGCGAAAAGGTTTTATAAAACCCAGCTGAAGGCCTATGACTGGGGCGACGGCGCACGTGCCCACAGAGAGGGCTCTGAGTGCTGCCTCTGGCACCCGTGCCATAGGTTCGCCACCCCTGACCTATACCATTTCAGACAAGTGACTGTCTAGTCTCTTCTTAAAAACCTCCAGTGGAGTGCCCATGATTTCTGAAGTCAAACTGTTCCATTGTTAATTGTCCTCACTGTTAGGAACTTTCTCCTTATTTCCAGGTTGCTTCTCTCTTTGATCAGTTTCTAACCATTGTTTCTTGTCCTGGTCTCTGGTGCTTTGGAGAATAATTTGACGCCCTCTTCTTTGTGGCAGCCCCTCAAATACTGGAATACTGCTATCATGTCACCCCTGTTTCTTCTTTTCTTTAGACTAGCCAAACCCAAGTCCTGCAGCCGTTCTTCATATGTTTTAGTCTCCAGGCCTTTGATCATTTTAGTTGCTCTTCTCTGAACTATTTCCAAAGTCTCAAGATCTTTTTTGTGATACGGTGACCAAAATTGGCTGCAGTATTCCAGATATGGTCTTACTAGGGTTTTATAAAACGGTACTAATACTTCACTTGATCTTGATTCTATGCCTCTGTTTATACAACCCAGTATTGTATTAGCTTTTTTGGTTGCTGTTGCACACTGCTGGTTCATAGTCAAGTGATCATCCACTAGGACTCCAAGGTCCCTCTCACAGTTTCTATTTTTGAGCCAGGTCTCACCCAATCTGTACTTGTACCTTTGATTTTTACTGCCTAAAAGTAAAACTTTGCTTTTCTCCACATTGAAACTCATTTTGTTGGATAGGGCCCATTGTTTGAATTTGTCAAGATCTTTTTGGATCCTGAGTTTGTCTTCTGTTGGCTACTCTTATCAGTTTGGTGTCATCTACAAATTTGCTGAGTTCCCCTTCAATTCCCTCATCTAGGTCATTTATAAAGATATTGAAGAGTACTGGGCCTAAGATGGAGCCTTGTGGTACTCCACTGCTTACTTCTCTCCTTGTGGATGTAGTGCCATTGAGGACTACTTGTTGATATGGTTTGCGAGCCAGCTATAGATTTAAATACAAATACTGTATACAAATTATCCCATCATTAACTCCTTAAAAATTCTTCCAAGATTCCATATATCAATCATCTTAATTTATGATTATCAATAGGTTCACTTTAGATATTGAGAAAAGACACATGTTTTCAAGATAAATGCAGTGTGTGAGGGGTGATGTATAAGCTAGATGGCTTGGCCTGCAGTGGCTATCTCAGGTGAGTCTGGAGAAAGTAACAGTATCAGATCTCTTCCTATTCCTTCTAATTTGGGCGATATATAATACTAGATAGCCTGACCGGCATAAAATTTAAACTAACTTCATAACATTTTTGCTATTTTCATTTCCCAGTCCTTCCAAATTTGTTTGGAAAAACAATCATCTTTACTCATATTGATCTAAGAACACAAAGAACAGGCCAGGGAATACCACAAACTCATGACCATTCTCTCTAGATGATAATAAGGAAAAGACAAAACTTGTCCTCTGGGAGCTGGTATTTTTGGATGCTTGATTTCTGCAGGTCAAAGTCCAAGATTGCACTGGAGGATTTGGGAATCAGAGATCAGTTTACAGAGCTGATCTCTGAATTTTGATATTTCTAGAAATCAGTGGGAGATTGTGGCATTTAAAATACTTTTCCCCACCTTACCATGGCATCTTCCAATCAGATAAAGACACTCAAGGGGCCTGGTTAATAATATAGTAATGCTAATCATAATGAGTGAATTGATATTATGCCAAAAAAAAAAAAATTCCCAACACTAGGTAGGAACTTCATGTTATATCTGCATCAGCCAATATTTACTTGCTCCATTAATACCTAATTGCTAATAGGGTGTTCTGCTGAGGAAATATATACAGTATTTCACCAGAAAAAAAGGCCAGAGGCTTGTTTAATAAGAATGAAACTAATTATCCCAATAGATGAATTATTAAAATGGTATCTCCTCAAGTCACCCATTATGGTAACTCACCGTACATAAAAAAAATGTTAACATTGGTACAAGGCTTCTACAGATAATCACTAGCCAGATTGAAAGTTTTCCCCGATGTGCCTCATAATAAAATTAGTTAAAGAGGTCATTGGTTATGACCTTCACATGCTCCATCAACATTCATGGAAATGCAACTTTCACTATTCAGCAGTTGCATTCTGCTTAGTCACTAATTTCCCAGCGAGCTATCCTTCAGGTCACATTACCTACACTAATAGCCATTCCATCAGTCTTCAGCTTTGCATCATTCAGAGTATTCCAGAGCATGGATCCTTTCTTTTCTTTTCTTTTAACATTTTATTCACATTTATTTTTTCGCTTTTAGTGTGCTCACAGAAAATTAGAACCTTAAACAGGACTTTAATAGCAATTTTGTATTGTGATACAAAGGAGGTTATATTGATGTTAAATTTGATTACAGCTGCGAGGCTGTTAGTAGGACAATATTGGAAGAAGGAATCTTTGCCTACATTGCAGGAATGGTTTCTTAAAGTGTCTCATTTGGCGGAAATGGCAAAGATTTCGGCTTTCTTAAAGGGACAAACGCAAGAGAAATTTCTTGCTGTTTGGGATAAATGGATAAAATTCATACAATTTAAACTTGATATAAAAAATATTATATAGTTTTCTCATAATTTTTAATTATATATACATATATTTTTCATTTTATATTCTTTTTTTTTAAATATAAATTTTTTTTAATTTTTTTTAATTAAGCCTATATTCTGCTCTGGGAGGCCCTGGGGGGGGGAAGGGGGGGTTTGGGTAGGGGTGGGGGAAGGGGGGTTTTTGTTGGGTAATGTTTGTTTTTTATTTGTATATGTTGTTTTTTTGTTTCTGTATTGTCTTTTATTTTCTGTAAAATTTATAAAACTTTTTAATAAAAAAAAAATAGCAATTTTGTAAGCAAAGTTACATTCCATCTCTAAGTCAAATTGGTCAAAGCTTCTCCAGTATCCTTTCTTAACCACTATACAGATTGCAACAATGTCTACTTTTCCTGTTAGACGTCACATCAGAGCTGGGCAGTAAAATTACAGCGTTTCTCATACTTAATACCAAATAAAATTCCTGGTTTGACTTGACACAAGACTCTCAGACATGACATGGGTAGATTAAAACCTTCATTGCAGACAAGAGTAAAGTCTTAATACAGAGATTGCCCACTGTGATGCAAAGAAGTCTTTAGGTCACTACTTCAGCACTTAAATTCATGGTTGTTTCCTCACAGATTTCAGAGTGAACATATATTTGGCCATTCTTTAGGGATAGCCTTGGGAGGCAGCTAAGATTACTTTACATAACAATTCTGCCTATTCTGAGAACTGCTGGTTCCTGCCTTATCAGCCTTTACATTTCCAATGAATAAGATTGCACCCTAGTGTTTGCCCCAAAGTTTCAGATTCCAGATTTGTACGCCAACAATTAAGTTGATTTATAATTACAGCTGTCAATTAGCTTGAGTTTTTCCAGCCTGGTTATAATGAAAAGAGACTTGACAACTATGTTAGGGAAATGATGATTATAGACAATCTATGAGAAATTCAGCTTCAATCTAATAACAGTTTTAAAAATGTATTTTTGTACCTTTCATAACTATAGAACAAAATTAATTTAATGTGTCAGTATGTTCAGAAGCAAAGAATAATGCCATAAGATTTATTACTTTTAAACTCTCATCATTTTAAGCTCTTCAAGATTTTTACTGTTTTCGGTAATGTCTCATATATCTTACTGACATTATTACTGTGTCATCCTCAGTAAAGTATACATCATGACAATGAAATGAAGCAAAGGTATCAAGATGTCATTCCCGGATATGTTTTTAGGGAGAACCATTAATTAATTCTTAAATTAATCTCTAGATAGATAGATAGATAGAGAGAGAGAGAGAGAGACAGACAGACAGACAGACAGACAGCTGTTATTTGTTGTCTACTTGATTTTTTAATTCAGTAAAATTGAATGACATTTGTTTGTTTTTTTGATTAAAGAAATAGTGGCATTTGGGGACTGGCAAAGAAAGATCTTTCCTTTTTCCTTTTTTCTTTCAAATCTTGGAAATTAAAGGAACAAATTATTAGCTGGAGTATTGTGTTCTCAACTTCTTCCTTTTTCTTGACCTCAGAAGTGCTGTGGTTACAGATGTGTGAAAAGAGACCCATACCCTGGGCTTATCTATGGGATTGCAGCAGAGCAATTAAACTAAGGACCAGAAGAACTGTTGAAAGTTGGAAGAATAAATTAGAGATACAATTCTTAGTATCCTATGAGAAATCAAAGTAATATCGCTCTTCACAGATCTTCCTGATTACTGAGAACAGCTATGATTAAATGGATGTCAAAAAAAAAAAAACCCAATACCACCACCTAGGCTTTGTATTAAAATTCAGAAAACCTGCTTTCACTCTCTTGAACTAAAATGGATATTGGTACTGATTTGGGATGATGCAGGTCAGTTCTTTGGAGAATAAGGTGGATTGTTACATGTCTCCATGTGAATAACCAAGCACACTAGAACCAACCCTCAAGACAATACTTGAATCTGTGCATTTTTAATTTAATCCCTTTCATCAGCATACTGCTAATCTATGTAACAATGTATCCTTAAATTACTTGAGTGTGTAATAGAAGTCTGATCATGATAGCAAGACTATCTATATACATTAAATACTTTTGGAAGGCTAGCAACAGAGTAAAAATTGTGACACTTTTCTATGTTTATAAAAATGAGGATTTTCAAAGTTAATATTGTTTTGGTAAGTGCCATGATGACATCTCTAGGCAAAAAATTGTTCCTATATGTAGCTTATATAGTATATTGTTCCTTATGTAGCTTTTTGCATATTGGGTAATATATACATTGGTCCAAACAAACTTCAAAAAGTGATGCTGGGACAGGATTGTCTTATTCAATATCATATCTCTTTTCATAAAAACCAAACTTCTTAAATGTTTGGTTTTAAAATGAACTTGACTCCACTTGCTATTCTCCCAGATAGTAGGAATAGTTTAGGAGTGGGAAGAGATATATCTATTGAAAAGGCAGCCTTGTGAACATGTGGCAGGATGGAATGTTCTGGCATACCATAAATATATTGCTTCCATTGACTCCTCATAGCAATAGCAGTAGCACTTAGACTTATATACCACTTCATAGTGCTTTACAGCCCTCTCTGAACAGTTTAAAGAGTCCGCATATTGCCCCCAACAATTTGGTCCTCATTTTACTGACCTCAGAACAATGGAAGGCTAAGTCAACCTTGAGCTGGTCAGAATCAAACTGCTGGCAGTTGATAGTATTAGTCTGCAATACTGCATTCTAACCACTGTACCACCAGGGAGCCATATTTCCCTTTATCAGGGAATCCAGTTTTCTGGTCAGCAGATTGAACGGAAAACCCCCAAAAAACAATAGTAAGTGTAGTTATATACTTTACACTTTAAATAGAAGGCACAGGAAAAATACTTAAATTCAGTCTAAAATTATGTATCTGTATCACAGTTTGGGAGAAATACAAACACAAATTTAATGCCAAGGATTTTGTGTTGGCCATCAGCCATGCAAAGATTACTTTACAGGCTGAGGATAGCATACAGTTGCCAGCCTGCGCTGATCTTTAACAGCAATCTGATATTTGGAAATTTAGCAGACTTAGAATTAGAAAGCATTAAATAAAAGATCCCATTTATTGTTTTAATGCATTTCTGTGTTTCTAGTTCTTATAATATCAATGGAAATAGCCTGTGTTATCTCTGGCCTGCTCTTTGCCTTGCTGGTAGAAGAATGGGTTTGGGATTATGCCATAACTATTACAATAATTCACATCACAGTAACTTCAGCAGGTAAGTATATTATTTAATAAATAACATTACTTCAGAAAAACGATAGCCGATGATTTTTGAAAGCAGTTTTATAGATATGTATCACATAGCCATATTGCTGGTTTTATTTTGCCTCAGATTCTTTTTGCTGAAGACATGAAGTAAGTTAAAAGAAGCAAACAATGCTGACAGCCCTAGAATACTGCAATGTGTTGGGTTACAGCTGCTATTATCTTCAGCCAGTATAGCCCATTGCTCTGCTGTGGCAAATTACTTGAGCTGGTTAAAGGATATATCAGAATCATCCATGCTTTCAGGCCAGAGGTTTTTTTTTTTAAATATGTGTATATTTCCTTAATATACACATTCACATACATACTAAATATAATTATGTGATTTTCAGCCTTTTTGTAACTCAGAACATTAATTGCTTTTCAGGTTTTTTTTTACTGAAGGAGAAAAGGGTCAGTTGTAATGAACATAAACATTCTGGCTGAAATGTACTATACAGTACATGGAAATAATATAAGTGTTACTTTAAAATTGGACTGTAAGTTATAGCTAATATTGAATTAATGCATCCTGGATGTATGTCACCAAGTTGGCAGGATGTGGGTGACTGTATGTTAACCCGCAAGGTAATTTTTAGGTTATAAACTCTAGTTTGCATAGAACAGGATGAAAATTGGCTTTGGTTATACTTATTTCCACTTCTACCCTCATGCTATAGGGCATTGCACACCAGAACAACTAGACACAAGGATATACTACTATTATTCTTCTCGTCTTTCCTATTATCAATCTCCTTATCTACTTATGACAATAGCTTAGTTGTATGTATCTTATGATTTATATTGTTTTATTTAGTTTCCTAGTATGATTTATGCTTATTGCTTAGTATCCTATGACTATCACTAAGTGTTGCATCTTATGATTTATGATGAATGTATTTTTATGATGATTATGATCATGATTTATCACTTAATAGCTTTTATATACGCTGAGAACTTACGCATCAAAGACAAATTCCTTGTGTGTCCAATCACACTTGGTCAATAAAGAATTCTATTCTATTCTATTCTATTCTATTCTATTCTATTCTATTCTATTCTATTCCATTCCATTCCATTCCATTCCATTGTGACCTACTGGCCAAAATCCCCAGGAAAAACTGACCAATATTGTCTTTATCATTAGCAGAGAATGCTACATAGATACACTTGAGATTGGGCAACCTAGTCTATAACTTCTGTATGTTACTAAACAACTTTTAAGTAGTCCTTGACTTATGATGGCAATTGGGACTGGTATTTTCATTGCTAAGCGATGTGGTCAAAAGGCATGTTTGCATCACTCAATGATGGCAATCCCTGGTTGTCCTTGTTAACCTAATGCTATAATTACTAGGTGAGACAACTTTCTGCTGACTTCCCCATTGAGGGAATGGATAGATGGGGGGAAGAACTCAGTGACTTATAACCTCCCCTGCTGGCTTCCCCATTGGCTTTCTGGGGAAGCTGACAGGGAATATTGCAAATGGTGATCAAATAATCACATGGCATTGCAGGTGGTCATTAGTGCAAGTTGCTTGCCAAGCACCAAATTGCAATCATGTGATCACAGAATTGATGGGATGGCAGGAACTGAGGATTGGTTGTAACCACAATTTGTGCAGCATACTTGTAATTTCAAATGGTCACTGAACAAATGGTTATAGATTGAGGACATCATGTGTATAAACACCTTGATTTGGCAAAGCCATGATATGTGGTAGGAGGTCACAGTGTACTTTCCATGGCTAATAGAAGGTTATGAATTGAAAATAAGAGGGTTGAATGGTGGACAGCATGAATTAACAAGATAAAAATAGTTATGTTCTAAGTCTATGCAATTAAGAGAAATGAGAAGGATATAATGGACCTGAATGAAGGGAAAGAATTTTGTGGAGAAGAGTTGATGAATACATGCAAGGAAGTGAAAGTATAAGTTTAATTACGAACAAAAGGGCTAAACTGTAGTGAAAAAGTATGAATTGGTTGTTGTGGGTGGATATGAAATAGGAATTTATTGACTGGTGATAATTGCATGCCCTTTTCCAGGAGCTATTGATTCCAGGGATGAAATGGAATGGAAAAAGGTTCAACATTCTGAATGAAAGAATAAAAGATATCTTCCATTAGGTGACATGAATATATGTGGGAATGTGCAAGAGTTACTGCATGGGTCGAGAAAGGCATGTGGCTTGGGAAGGTGGCAAAGCTTAGGGGAGCACATGGGAGGGTGACTCAGCTGGGAATAATGCAAGGGGGGGGTCTTTCCTTCCTGAAGCAGCCACAACTGTCCCAAATTTCATTTCCTCGGGAATTATGGCTCCTGGATTTTGAACACATTCTGTAAATTATCCCATCTGAGTTAGCTTGGTTCAATAATTGTTGCCCTATTATGCACCACTTCACCCAGTTAAAGGTCATGACAATGAGACTTTTAGTAGCATACAGATGTGCAACCAACCATAAATAATAATAATTAAACTTATATGCTACCTGACTTTCAATGCCTCTGGGTGATTCACAACAACCAAACAAGGAAATTACAATAAAATAAATAAAACATAAAATATGACAAGCTCAACAAAGTGAGGGGTCTTACCTTCCTCCATGGATGAAGAGCCAGGACTTCATAGTTCTTCTAAACAACTGTGGATTGGAAAGATAATTTGGATACAAGGTTATTCTTGTGAACCAGCACTGAATTTTTATTAAGTCTGAAAGATCCGAAATATCTCCCTTCCCTCAGCATATCTCAGAATGCAGTTGATTAGCATTTCATAATGGTTGAAATCTAGACCAAAAGTGCAGCCATCACCAAGCATACTTTGGATGTAAACTGCCACTGAACAATTCTTTAGAAGGAAAGGAGAATGAGGAGACCTGTAACATCCCCAACATCTGGTTCAGAGAAAGTAATAGCGGCTCAATTCTTGAATTTTGATGTGGCAGGCACATAATAAACATATAGTATCTTGACACGTAACATTCCCAACTGTACCAGAACATGCCTTTTTAAATATAGTTCTAAACTGTGATCATTAACAGCAATGTACTCTATTGGGTTTTTATAAATTTCAATTATTTCCTAAAATTGACTTATAAGCCCAGTGACATTATATTTGTTAAGGTTATTTTTTCTCTCCAAAGACAATGTTTGATGTTGATGTTTCTCCTTCTTATTTCATATAGATCATAATTTTTCATTTTACAGTAATGGCTGAATTTCCACTGATGTTGCACTGGTGGGCAGCTTTAGGTATGTTTAAATAATGATGATTTTATCATCCCAAATAGTAAATCTATAATTTTAATAGTTAGGAAGCATCACTCTACTAAAACGTATCATTTAAAAAAGAAATACAGAAACAAATCAATTCATAAATCTTCACCTATGTCTGTGTTTGCAACTGTAATCTTAAGCATGATTGTTCAATCATAAATCACCCAAATATATATTTATATAAAATATATTTGACATTTTATTGAATGCTAAAGCTTTGAGAGCTTAAATTATATAGAAAGAAAGACATATAGCATGTGTCTGGTATAAATAATAATGATGAAAAAAACATGCTTTTCAATCTCAGAATACAAATTCTAGACTTTCATATTTATGTCACAATATTGGATGTTAATGATATGTCACATGGCAAATTTGATTATTTTTAGTTAATGGCTGGATGAGAAATCATCCGAAAACCAAAATTATAAGGAAATTTAAAAAATTACAATATAATTTTTTATTAATTTTTATTGTCAAGAAATTACATGTTCATAGAGTCTTCAGGAATTGATCTTAGTCAATGGGAAATAGTAACTTTTTATTTTTATTTTATTTATTTATTTATTTCTATATCACCCATTACACATGATTCTGGAAGGTTTATAAATAAAGCAATAAAACCATATAAATGCTATGGTCAAAAACAAAAATAAAACCTAGTTAAAAAGAACAATTGCAAAGTTAAAAGGCAAAGGAAATGCCTTCAAACCACCAATTCTCCCCAGGGTAGCATAACACACTTAGACATATGTAAGGGGGATGTTTTGAAGTTGAGCCTGTGTTGTTTATCCTAAAGTTAGTACAAAATTCTTTTTAAAAAGGACTGTTCGGAATAATGGCAGATAAATTATCTAAACACATAAAAGTTCCGTATAAACAGTTATAGGTTTCCCACTTTGAAGTAGGGAGAGTTCTGTTTTGGTAAGATGTTGAGTGTTCTCAGGAAAAAAATACTAAACTCAAACATCAGAACTAAAATTCTAGAGTTCCCTGGAAAGAAATAATAATTGATACATGTAGTGTGGATATGTGAAACATACTTATCAAGATTTCTTTAATTGTGCCCAAAGTGATAACATAACTGTTGGAACTGGTTCTGCAGGCATACTTCATAATGAAAAGAGCTAGATGTAAAGTAAATGGTGAGATTTATCATAATTCTTCTTCCTGAAAGTGAAAAGAAAGAAAGAAAAAAAAAACTCTTTAAAAACAGAAAAAGACAATAGCCTAAATAAGAAACAAGTACAAGTTGCTATCCAGTACAACAAACTAATATCTGTATGCATTACTAGCACTATGTACACTAATATAGATCCCCCCCCCCCTTTTCTTCCTTTATAGGTTCTGGCCTCATTTTAATGATTTGCAGTGGTCAATGTTTGGCTTTTTACCTGTTCAAGGACAATTTTATTTATCCTATTCTTGATGATTTCTGAAATATTTTGTTCAGTATCTCCATTATGTTTTTAACAAAACATGCTTGTTTCAGCATGTCATTTTCTGAAGAGCAGAATCAGAAACACTTCAATTACCTATTATTATTATTGGTGCTATTCAGGGATTTTTTTCCCCCCATGATATTCTGTAAATGTTCTACTTATTTTATTTCTAGCTTAATAAGTTTTTTTCTTGATAAAAGATGGAAAGAAATAGAAAGAATATTTAAAGATAAACCTTTGCTCCAGCACATAATGAATTTAGTCTGTCATTAATTAATTAATTAGTTAATTTGTTTATATCCCATCATTATCATTTGTATAAATAACTCAAAGCAGTGAACATAATACTCATTCCTTCTTTTGTTTTCTAACAAGCAACAATCCTGTGAGGAAGGCTAGGCTGAGAGAGAATGACTGGCCCAAAGGCACCCAGCTGGTTTTCATGCCTAAGGTGGGACTAGAACTCATTGTCTCTCAGTTTTTAGCCTAGGGCAGGGGTGTTAAACTGCTGGCCCGCAGGTGCCCACCCTAGCTCCAGCAAGGGAGAAAAAGTCACAATATGTTACAACATGTCATGTGACACAGCAAGTTTGATATCTCTGGCCTAGGCCCTTAACCACTAAACCAAACTAATTGATAAATTTCTATGAATGGTTTTACCATATTTGGGGGGGAAACAGGTTTTGTGAGTGCAAGTGTGTGTGTGTGTGAGAGAGTGTATGTTTCTAGGAAATTAATATTGACAAATCCATATTAAAATATGTTAACTGTTAGGGGTGTGGCCACATTCTAAAACAAAGATTTTACAATGGTGCAGATCTTTACCACAGCCATTAAAATATATATTAATATAAATTCAGATGTTGTGGCTTCTTTATTAATAGATCTCTGCATCCTATTATATAAGTAATAATTAATAAAACTATGATGATATCTTGGATATTATTTATTTAATTTTTTAACTTTTTTTTATCTCACCTTTATTATTATTTAAATAACTCAAGATGGTAAACATACATAAAGTAATAGTACTAGTAGTAAAATTGGAAGGGACCTTGGAGGTCATCTAGTCCAACCCCCTGCTCAGGGAGGAAACCCTACACCATTTCGGACAAATGGCTGTCCAGTCTCTTCTTAAAAACTTCCAGTGTTGGAGCATTTACTGCTTCTGGAGGCAGGTTTTTCCACTGATTAATTGTTCTCACTGTCAGGAAGTTTCTCCTTAGTTCTAGGTTGCTTCTCTCCTTGATTAGTTTCCACCCGTTGCTTCTTGTCCTGCCTTCAGGTGCTTTGGAGAATAGCTTAATTCCCTCTTCTTTATGGCAGCCCCTGAGATATTGGAATCCTTCATATTTTTTTTCAGAACATTAATTCTGTGAAGTGGGTTAGAGAAGGAGGGAGGGAGAGAGAGAGAGAGTGGCTCAAGTCAACCAGCTGATTTGCATGCCTACTAGAACTCACAATCTCCCAGTTTCTAGCCTGGTACTTTAACCACTAGACCAAAAACTATACTTCAAGTGTAAACCACATACTCTACATTCAAAACATTCACATTCAATCTCTTTTATTCATATTTTAAAAGAATTAAATAAAACCCCATTAAAGAATGTGTTATTAGAAATTGTAAAAACTTCTACCTAAGCCATTGGAGATCATTGCTAAACAGAATATATTGGACCTTGCAGACAGTTTAGCCTGGGAAAAGAAAACACCACATTCTACAAATTTGGAAAAAAAATCTTGAGGAAACAGGCATAATCTAGCCAAATAAGCAATTTATTATAGCAAATTGTTTAAGCAATCAATATTATTCACAGTTTATTTTTCCCATTAGTGAATCCAAAGCAATTATACATTTATATTTATAGTATTATTAACTTTTTCCTCTCCTTATGGGGGTATTCTAAGTAACTTATAAAATCTAAGAGTGATCAAAACAGCAGTAACTATTCACCATAATTATACCATAAAACATGCAATAGGCATTACATTAATTGGAAAAAGCACCTGCTCCCAAATTTATAACAAAATTGGGAATGAGAAAAGTGTTTTCCAGAACTGGAAGAACTTCGTAGAGACAATAGATAAGCAACTATTATTGTCCACATATGGGTTGCAATGCAAAAGGCTACAAAGAAACAACCTTGCCTAGATGTATTGTAGAGTGTAGATGTGCAAAAGAAAGCAAGGCCGTTGCATGTTTATATATAAAGGAAAATCCCTCAGATATTTCTGGCATGGATTTCTGAATTTTGCTCTCTAAAAAATAATTAAAGGAATAAGGAGGCAGGTAACTTTGAGTCACTGTTGACTCCTGAATCAGTCCCTGGCAGTTTTTCTGACAAGATTTTAGAAATGGTTTACCATTGCCTCCTTCCTAAGGCTAAGAGAGAATGAATAGCACAAGATCATACAACTGCGTTTATGTCCAAGATGGGACTAGAACTCATCATCTCCTGGTTTCTAGCCTGGTGCCTTAACCACTACACCAAACTGGCTGTCAGTTAAAGGAAAACAAGATCTCTTATCTATGACCTATACTATTCAAAGAGACAATTTTTAGAAAGAAATTCAAACAGATAAAGTATTTAATAAGTGTATCCAGCTTGTATTATATAGACAAATATAAGGAGCTATGGCTCAGTAGACCACAATCCATTTAATAGATAGATGATTCACACAGACACACATACACGCACACACACTAAAAGATTTTAGATAGTCAAAGAATGCTTGCAAACAATATGAAGGATATTACTCAGAACCATTTTTTAAAACTGCTATAATGCTTCATCAAATGTGTTTGACACAGGTCAATTTATAACCCTTTTAAACTTACTTTTTTAATACTAAAGGCCCCACTGGATAATCAAAATGTCTCAATTTTATTATACATAGAAATCCTGTCTTTTTAAAACCATTCAATTTAACTATAAAGATCATCTTAATAATATCTTAAAATAAAACACAGAAGTGGAATTAAATATATATCTGAACTTTTCTTAATATATATATAAAATGCCAGATAAACATAGAATCCTATCTGTTCATTCCCTGGAAATAAAACGGGTCAGTGATTTAATTACAAAAGACTTTGACCTTAAAAACAACGCATATAATTGACTTTGAGGTCAACATATCTGCCTGCAGCAGAGTGCCGTTAGGATTAATGGAGATACGATGTTTATTACTTTCACTTCTTGATTAATGCGTGTAGAACTTTGGTACTTTGAGATACGTATCTGGACTGCAAAATCCCAGATGACCATTAGCTTGTATGATACCTTGTAGTCTGAGGTGGAAGGATATGACAATATCAATCCATGGATATTTTTTTCCTGCTCTTTGGGCTGCTTATTGCACTGCAATACCTTATAAAAGATGTTTTTCCTTAAAGTGAAGCAATATAAGCCAACTCCCCAGAGTACTGATCCGAGTCATGGATTCTCTTGATGGACTGTGGCAACTTTTCCCAAGGACAATTTTCTTTTCCATCTCCACATTTATTACAGCAGGAATAAGAATTTTGTATGAAGTAGCACCGATTATATTCATGGGATTATGAATATCAGCTTTTGTTGGAAGCTTTTAGGATTGTTTCCTTCATAAAGCTTTTAGAACTGCAAACATCCAGACAATCAATAGGTGGCAACAGATACAGGAAAGTTTAATTCTTTGACTCCATCTGGTGGTCATCTGAATTTTACAATCCAGATACTATTGTTTCAAAGCTAATGCAGTGATTTTCTATAAAATCATACAGGAAAAAAATCACATTGAATTTAGGTATTGTATAGGATTACACCATTAGTGCTAAACAAGAACAGAAGACAGGAAATGGCACATATAACTAGGTACAAAATTCCAGTTTTTTGTCCCAGAGTTCAAATACGTATGTAGTTTTACAAACCTTTAATGGATTAGATTACTGCTCAAGTTAATCCATGAGTTAAGCAGGTACTTATTTTTAGCAAGAGCATCTTTATTTTTTAATCAGCGGCTTCACTAGCATTGGTGTGTAGACTCAGAACTGTTATTGTTTTCATGTAAAAATTCCAGTTTTAACATGAGAAGTGAAAATACTTTAGTTCACATGCAACCATATAGAAGCAGTCATAAGGATCATCTAATCCAAACCTTAGCAACATGCAGGAAAATCAATTCAACTATTCTTGAGACGCAGCATGCAAATTTTTCTTCACTGTTGTTGCTACTGGATATGAAAATGGCTCTTTAATAACATCTTAAAAGTTGCACTTGAGAATAAACATGGAAACAGTGAAAAAGAAACAATTTTTATCAACATCAATATCAATGTTTCAAGTCAAGTTACAAAGGGACAGAGAATCCTTGAATGGACCATTCTCATAAAATACACGTACTCAATATGATCATGGAACAATCATTAAAAAGCACATCTTGAGCAGATATCAAACTATGATGAATGATCATGACAAGTTCTGGGGGGCTGAGGTAACCCAGCAATCCAGCTGAGGAAATCCAGCATTGCTTGAGAGCTGGAGAGAAGTCCAAATTTCCATCTTCTACTCCATCAACATTCATCTTTAAACAAGAAGAGATTCTGTATGGAAGATCTGAATGACTGAGAAAGAGAATATGAAATGCTTGTGCTGCTAAAATAAAGTTTTTAAATGTACAAGTACTCTCCAATCTTGTTGGGTAGTGTTCACTGAGCTTGGTCTGGAGCTGCATAAAAGATTCCTAATTCTGTAACAGAGAACATACCTCTTTGGTAATCTATTAGAAACTGTGCATGTGTTCATGTGTTTTAACAATTAAAATATATTTTATTTTGGATATATTTTTCCTTATAAAAAAGTAACCTTACCTTAAGAATATATTAGAATTTTTAAAAACAAATTTACAAGTGCAAATGGAACATGGTTCTCTCTCTAAACAAATAGCTATTTCAAGAAGCGGGATTAGTCTTAAGACCTTCTATAATCATGATTAATTATCAGTTCCACTGTAGAGCCTTGTTAAATACAAAAGGCTAATTTGACACATGTTTACTATGGCCCTCTAAAGTCTCTTCCAATGCTTAGGGATTTATATATGTGTGATCATAGTAACAGGCTCTACTTCTTTCTTTGCTCTCTTTCTGTCGTGGGGTCAAGAGAGGCTCTAGGTCCTAGGACTTTCATGAACTTTATTGTTACAGTTTGACATAAATTCTCTAAAAGTCACTCTGCACTGGAGAAAAGATTCAATGATCATACAAATGTCAGCAGCTAAAGATGTGAGAAGTAAAAATAAGAATCAGCAACTGTGAGAAAAGCATAATATATGGAATGGGAAAGGCTCTGCTCAAAGTCACTCCAGATATTGTGTCAAATGACAAACTGTTTTAATGTCACATTCACCATTCCCTAGCTATCAGAGTGCTATGTGGTTCCATTGTATCACAATATAAGCTTTCATAGCAGCATCATGTCAGTTGCTAGTATTAAAGATTCCTACATTGCTAAAATAGCACTGCTAGAATATGGACAACATCATTATAAATAGCATTACATAAGACTATGCAAACCGATCCTCTGTTCACTAGGATTCTATTATTGATTCTGATTATTACAACTTTCAGTCTAAAATAATATTATTTATATTTGTTACAGTACTTAGAATATAAATCCAATCAATCAATAGATGTTAGACAGAACATGGTAGACTGAATGAGACAAATTATTTGCTCTGGGAATTCTGATATTCTTATGGGTAGCAAATAACATTTTGTAAATAATTGTTTTTGAGAACTATGAAAAATAAGGAATTTCTTGTTGTTAATCATTAACCAAGCATGCATATTTATAGTATACATAAGTTCATACAATTTTTCCATTTTTCTGTAGATTATGTTACACTATTTCATATTTCTACTTTTCTGCATTCAAACATGTCTTCATATATAAGTGTAATCCGTATTAATAAAAATCACAACCGTTTATAGAAAAATAAGAAAAACAGTAGCTGGAAGAATTTATTAGACTTTTGATAATATATATTATGTACTAATTCAGATCCAGAAAATTATGTCTATAATAAATTCCTGTTATGAATAGACAATCTTTAAAGATTAATAATAGTAACCTAATTTACAGCAAATTACAGTATGCAATTAAATTGTCATTAGCTATAGTGGTTATTTAGTATTTTCATTTTGGATTGAGAACCTATATAATTATCCATATGGCCAGCTATTAGCTAAGTCTTTAAGATTTACCTTTTCTCTTTCTTAACTAATTACAGCTATTTCTCTTTCTGTTATCTTTATATTTTTCATCAGAAGTTTTAAAAACCCCTCCTTAATATAGCTAGAGGGGTGTGACAGTAGAGAATATAGATTCTGTTGTCTTCTGACATCTATATATTTCCTTAGGAGCAGCATTTAATGTTCAGCTTCTACTTCACCTACTTCACGGAGAATAAATCATAATTATGGACAAAGCTTATGAATGAATTCATATAGATATAATTTCTCCACATTTCCTTTTGGGCTCACAGTTTCACACAAATGAGTGACGATAGCACCATACAAACTGAAAGTTGCTTTTGGCAGAGAAAGATATATAATTGGAACATCAGTCTATCGCATAGCAACAAATGGCACAAAAACTATATATGAAAAAAAAATCTATCTTTAACGTGTACACATACCTAGGAGGTGCACTGAATTCACATATAAAAGTAAAGGTGAAGGTTTTCCTTGTCCAGTCATGTGACTCTAGGAGGTGGTGCTCATCTCTGTTTCCTGGCCAAGGAAGCCAGCATAATTCAAAGACATTTCTGTGGCCATGTGGCCTGTATCACTATATCCCAAGGCACCCAGAATGCTGTTACCTTCCCCTTGCATTTGCATGCTCTCAAACCTCTAGGAGGGCTATGAGCAGGAGCAAACCTTTTACTGTAGGAATCCCTCGCAAAAACAAAAACAGGGTTGCCAAAAGAAGACTAGCTGGTTGGAAATCCTATGCAGTTCTCCTAGGGTCAAATCCAAAACTTCTAAAAGGCCCCCACAGACTCAAATTATCTGTTGATTGTTTTACCATGTTCTATGTAAAACTGTCTCAGTTTTTGCCTATGCTTTGACCTAGTGTAGAGTTTGGGGTGGAGCAGCATTTGCACACCCTCCAAACCAGTATCTTCTAATATCTCTGATGCCACTGTGGAGTCTTCAACAACATGCCAAAATTCACATCACCTAGTTAGTACTTTTGCATTTTGGCCCCTCTCTTGTAGCTGTCATACACTTGGCGGTTTGATTCCTCCTCTGGCACTCCTGCACTCTTAAGGTATTACAGTTAATTTTGCCTAATGGCTAGGACTGGGCTTATTTTACGCCCATCAGTAGACTCTCTATCGCGCCAGTGGTAGAAGGAAAAGCTACACCAGATGAGTTTGGGCGCGGCCGTCCCTTCCAGCGGAGGGCTTGAGCGACCACTGCGGGTTCGAGTCGAAATGATCCCGCCTGCATGAGCCTGGGCGACCGCAGGCGCGCGCTCTGCCGCCATCTGGGAGAGTCGGGGTGACGGAAGGGTGCGTGTGGCGGCTGCAGGCAGCGACGGGCGGAGGAAGCCCGCCAGAATCGCACTGAGCGCCTGCCTGCTCCTCTCATCCCCGCTGGCATTAGCGGCGGCGGGAGGACCAAGGTCGGCGTTGCCCGGGCAGTTGAGGCGGCAGAGCCAAGCCCCAGCGGCCTCCTTTCGTCGCCTTGTGGTTCGTTCTCCGAGGGCGCCAGAAGAGCAAAAGTCAAAGCGTTTGGAGACCTCTAGAGTCGGAACGCTCCGCCAGGCTCCTCAGCTCCTCGGACTCTCCTTGGATCTCTGAGAAGGTGAATCCCGCCTAGATGGTTACCGTGGTGACCAAGCTCGTGCATTATCTGCACCTCAGGTAAGGAGTCACGTAGGCGGCCAGCGGCTGCTGCCCTTGGCTAGCTAGTTGCGAGCGAGTCCCTTTCTAACTACCTTCCCACATTATATTGCAGGTTCTCAGGCACTCCCTATTCTTAGGCTCCACAATCTTTTTTTCAGACAAACTTTTTCTGATAGAGTATAATGCGCGCTATTTGCAATGAACTCAGAAAACTGGAAACTCCAGTACTGTGAACTTCAGTCTACAGTACTGCAGTAACATCCCACTAGGTTCCCTCACTAAGGACCAAATATTGATTTGAGACTGGGTAGCTGTGATCAGGATGCTAGCACTTAAAAAGAAAGCAAAGATGTCAGTGCCTGTATGAATGGATGAATGGCTGGAAATAAAATCAGCACTGCAGCAGAGAGAGAAAAGGCTTAATTTATTTCCTTCCACTGTTTTCCTGATTAAAAAATCAACACGCTCATTCAATGGAAATAGTCTTTTGGGAAGAACACAAGCAAGTATCAGATTGATACCATTTTTGACTGAAGATCTTTTTGGTAACAATTTAATACCAATCCATAATAAATCTTATGGGTTACTAATACATATATTCTGGGGAGCCAAGTTCTTAAATGGGTCATTGCTTTTGTTTTCTATCTATACATTCTGTTTCTCTCTCTCTCTCTCTCTCTCTCTCTCTCTCTCTCTCTCTCTCTCTCTCTCTCAATCTATCTATCTATCTCAGCGGTTCTCAACCTATGGGTCGCGACCCCATTTGGGGTCGATCGACCATTTCTTGGGGGTCGCCAAACAAGGCGATCTGCCATTTTTTCCCCTCAGGGGGCGGCGCTGCGCATGCGTGCCGTGCATGGGGGCGGCGCCGTGCATGCGCGGCACGTTTGTGTGACGGGGCCGTCACACAAACGTTGAGAACCACTGATCTATCTGCATACAAAGATATATATATATATATATATATATATATATATATATATATGTGCGTGTGTGTGCAACCTAGAAAATCAAGATTCATAGAAAAAAGAAATATAACATGTTTTGTTACAGAAATATAATATGAGGATGATTTTCCATACTGACTCATTAAGTGAGGATGATTCCAAGCTAGGATGTTACATTGGCATACACACAATATTTTCTTTAAACAACCACAGCAGTTTCAATATTGTTGTATTCTCTGTTCATTTGTTTGCATGATTTCCACAATTCTGAGAATTCATACCTTTTGTACTGAATCCCCCAAATGGCTTGGCTAGTTTTCAGAACTAATGACAACACATTTTTAGTGTCAATTTCAACAGTGGCAATAAATGTGATCTTTAAACTTTGACGGTGATAAGAGTGTTAGCTATGTTCCAAAGATCTGAATTTTTAACTTATTTTCCTTTAATGTTATCATGTCAAATCATAAACTGTTTTGCAAAATCTTCTTAGTTTCAACAAGCTTGATCCTGAGAAATACCTACTGAAAATCCAACTATCCATTCAGAATGAGTGATGTAGTCCCCATTCAGTCCCAATTTAACTATCTGCAAAGTTTTAACTCTATATCTTAGGGGAATAACTCAGCTGTTTTGATATATTCATTGAAAAGTAAGGTCTCAATATCTTTTCTGTATTTCATAAGTTATAAGTGTTTCAAGTATCATCTTACCATTCCCCATGTTGAATGTTATTAATACTGTTTAGCCTATAAAGGCCCAAAATATGAATTATATGTGTAATTAGGTTACAAACACTAAGTTGTTTCCTTACGGCTGGTTCCAGTACTACATTAGTTACGTATAGATGTTTTAACATTAACATCAAATATTTCACAAACGTAGGCAACAATGTAAGCTGAGATATTCAATTTATCTAAACTATTCTTATTACTTAGGCCTATGTTTGTAATCTTGTCATGATTACATAAATCCAGGAATATTTGTCTTACTAATAGTATATAAAATATTTAGTTCAATCACTTATGTTGCCTTTATGTCTTTCATTCAATATATTCCTATTGCCTCTTACAAAACTCAAAATTTCTGTCCCAATTTCCACCAGCCCACCTTTACATTTCTCCAAGTTTTTTCTATGTGTTATGCTGCAGATCCTATTCCCACAATCTTCCAAGATTATTTTGTGTTGTTACAGAATCAATATACATGGCTTAAAATTCACATGCCAATTCTCTTCACTCATGCTTTGCTTATACATCCTGTTGCCCAATTTCTCCTACTAGAACACATCAAGCATATGTGGATCCAAACATTCAAAAAATATTCCACACATAGAAAAAAATCATTTAGGGGAAGAAGTACAAAAGCTTAGATTGAGAAATAAAGAAATTACTTTTCATTTAAAATTTTTCATTTGTTGAATATTAGGCTTATTGCCATTGATTTTTAAAAATACAGGTAGTCCTTGACTTACGACCACAATTGAGCCCAAAATTTCTGTTGTTAAGTGAGATATTTTAAAGTGAGTTTTACCCCTTTTTATAACCCCTTTCTTGCCACAGTTATTAAGTGAATCAGTGCAGTTAAGTTAGAAACCACATTATTAAGTAAATCTGGCTTCCCTATTAAGGTTCCAAAAGGTGATCACATGACCTTGGGACACAGCAATGGTCATAAATATGAACGAGTTGCCAAGCATCTGAAATTTAATCACATAATCATGGGGATGCTATAAAGGTCATAACTGTGAAAAATGGTCATAAGTCACATTTTTCAGTGCCGTTGTAACATTCAACAGTCACTAAATGAACTGTTGTAAGTTGAGGACTACCTGTATGTCACCAACAGAAGACTAGTTCAGACAATATTTGTTTTCCTTCATTGTTTTCTCTAAATGAAGGCTTCATGACTATATGTACCAACCAATAAAAAAATAGAACCATTACATTAATTTAATTTATTGTTAATGTGTGATTATCTGCACTCCCAAAAGTTAAAAAAATGCATTTAGTGCACATTAAGCCTAATTAGTAGTCTGTTTTAATTTGTTAATATCTGATTATTTTCCTGAATGTAGAAAGGTAGCTAGATTTATGTATGTTTATAGTTCTATGTATGTGTGTACACACACACAAACACACACACACACACCCCTTATGGTTGGTAGCCAAATATTAAACCATATTTCAGAAATTTGACATCTGGTTCCTAATCACTTTTTAAGGCATGAGTTTCTTATCACACACTACTGTGATTACCAAAATAATATTTAATAGTTCAGATAACTATTAGAAAATCTGTTATACCATTGGTGCTTCTAGAGGATAAGCCTTGTGGGGTTTTTTTTGTAGCAAAAACAATCCAGAATTTTGTGGTGTTTGAAGATGTATGTGTAGGTAAGAGAGAGGAGAAGAAAGAGAGAGGGAGAGATGGATGAATGTGGTATTTTATTTATTAATCAATTTATCCAGCCACCCACTTCACCGAAGGTGACTCTGGGTAGTGCACAATAAATGAGTGGGACCACACATAAAAATGCACAAATCCAAAAAAAATCTAACAATCACATTATTTTTTTAGGCTTTGAAGCTGTCCTTTGTATATTCTGCATTTCCAGTTCCCAAAGCTGTTAAGCAGCATGAATTATGGGTCTATCCCAAAAGATCTTTTATTCACTATTGCAACTGTGAGCCATTGGATTATCTGAAATGCTTCTTACTTTGGTGTTCTCTGAGTTTCTCTGAAAGTAAATTGGAAATACTGTACCACAAAGCAGATGGGAAAAAAGCCAATACATATTTTAGATAGCACCAGATATATTGTAGCGTAACTAATTAGATTATGCTATATATTAGCTCCTAAAGGCTAATTACGCTTGGGATGTAAAGATTTTTATCATCTTCCCCTTAAATAAGGTCATGTGACTGAACTGTTTAACACACCAGAAAAAAAGCAGAGAAATACTGCTACACTTAAACAGGGAAAACAAATGTGAAAAATTTTATAAAACAAGCAGTGGGATACATTGTGCAAACAATGTGAAATTTCTTTACATTGTTCTGTAGTCTGGTCTTTCCTAATCTAGCATTCACTAGATTAATTTGAGTTTGCAGTGTTTAAAATTCCCAGTCAACGTGCCTCAGTTTGTTGCTGAAACTTGATTATGTGAATATTTTCCTACTATGAAGATATTATTCAAGACCATTTAACAGAGCATGATGATGAAGTTTGCTTATCTTCAAAAATAAAGCTGACCTTGTACACAGATAATCCAGGTAGTCACAGGAAAAAAAGAATATAGTAAAATGTAACTATATTTTTAAGTTTAGCTGACCCAAAATTAGAAAGGAAGATTTTGTTTATGATATCAATCTCTTTTTATTCTAATACTCAAGCTGGTTTACAACAACAAAGAATCATAATGTAAAACTTCTAATGTAAAAAAAAAAAAAAAAAGCTCGCTCCCTGGTATTCAAGATGCTGCTTCTAAGCGCTCTGTGCTTAGAACTCAAAGCATTGTTAGAGACCCCACACATCCACTGTAAGGTCTGTTTCTGTTGCTCCCCTCTGGGAGGAGGTTTCAAAGTATTTCTAACAGGACTACCCGATTCTGTAATAGCTATGCCATCCATCTGGTAAACTCGCAAGATTCGTTTCTCTCGCCATGCACATGTATACATAATCCGAACTAGACTGTGTTGTTTCTCTGTGTCATATAATATATGTGGGTATATGCATAATTCTGTATTTATTTATTTATTTTTGTCATATTTATGTAGTATATATTGGAAGTGGTAATCTTTGAGAGCTGAATGCAACGAAATTCCATTTTAATGTATGCCGATTAGCGTACATTCAAAGTGACAATAAAGCTATTATTCTATTTTTCTAATCTAATGTAAAAACTTAATAAAATTAATGCAGTTAAAACCAATGCCAGTTAAACTTCATTATTAAAATAATTAACTATTAAAATTGGTGGAAGAGATGCATATATCTTCCTATATACTTTAAAATTGAGAGAATCAATTGTTGAAATGATTGTATCGATAGTAATACATTGTGATAATG